TTTTTTTTTTTTTTTTTTCTTTTCCTTTTTTGCTTCAAAAATAAGCTTTCATAGTTACAACAATATATGCATATTGTGCTAGTATTACATACATATAAGGCCCTTGTGTGACCATGTATCTAATATATTGTGTCGCACGAGCCCAACCTCAGTTGCCTCCAATGTACAATGTATCCGCATATAGGGACGTTAATCTGTAGTAGGTTTTTTTTTGTTTTTTTTGTTCTTTGTTCTAAAAGTTATTATCCTTTTTTTGTTTTCTTTTGGAGTAACTTCCAAATAGTGTAATGTTGGTTAAAGTTGCTTTTGGGAACATACAAGTAAGGCCTGTGGCAGGAAAAGGCGAAGGACAATGGTTGTTGTTCCATTTTTCCACTCGGTTATATTTGTGCGTGCGTGGTGTGTGTGTGTGCGCGCCTTGTGGCTGTACTTACTTTCCAAAGGGAATAACCAAGAAGGGCGACGGTGACGGACGTGAGAAAAAACAGGATGGGAGTAGTGGCCGTAAGGACCGTGCCGGTTAGGTCAGGGAAGAAGGGGCCACCGTGTTCCACATTGTGCGGAGGGTTCCCCTTTGGACCTGGTGTGGGACCTGTTCCAAAATGTCCCCCTGCAGCCATTACATTTACAGAAGGGTCAAGTTTTAAGTCAGTGATTGTGCCTGAAGGGGATGATGAATCCTCCTTAGTAACCAAGGGATCCGTAGGACCAGCCTCTACGGTAGCAGAAATGGTACCATTGATGCCAGGACCATCCTTTGCACTGTCCCGGGTGGCCGAAGTATCCGAATTTGTACATTTTGCAGGAACGTTGTCAAATAAGCCGAGACCGCAGATTTCTTTATCATATTCATTTGGGACGTCTTTCTTAGAAGGTACAGGAAGGGGGGAACCTCTGGATGATCCATCATCCTGGACGGAGCCACCTAGGCCGCCGCTGCTGCCGCTGGGGCTGCTGCTGCCCGATTGATCTGGGTTCGGGTTCGGTTTTGGTTTGGGTGGATTAAGAGGAGGGGGGTCATCGTTGCCCACATCGATGGCTTTACCAGGTCCAAGGAAGGAACCGGACCCGGCAGGTATATTCCCGGCGGAAACGTGGACGGGAGGGATGTCCTTAGGTTTCCCTGCTGCAGATCCATTGGATGTTGTTGTTGGTAGTGGTCCTGATCCCGCTGCAGCTGCAGACGCGGCTTCCGGTTCTGGTTGTGCCTCAGGTAACTTCTGGACTGATGGCTCAGTATTCTTAGGCTCTGTAGGGTCTGTACATTGTTGGAAGGAAGGGCATGTGATGAAACTGAAGTCCATGTTTGGCCCCACGGTCCGTCGCTGATGAGTTGTCGCGGTGTTGCGCGGGTGGCACCATTGGTGCCACGGGGACGGAGGGGACGGAGGCAGGCGTTTGGGAGACGAACGGGGGGTGGCAGGTGCCACTCCGGGAAAAGACACTCTCTCTGTCCGACACACAACACAACACTCACACACACAGTGTGTGTGTGTATCGGCCTGTCCGTCTCTCGACGTCTCTACGTCTGTCTACCGGACGCGGTTGTCTCGGTCTGCGTCTACGCCTGTCGACATCTCTACGTCTCTCTACCTCCCGCGGCCGACCACCGTCGCCCCGTGGCTCGGCCGCTCACTGTCCCCGTCTCACTCTCATTCGACGTGTGGTTTCTCTCTCTCCGTGGTGTCTCTCCCTGTCTCTCCGGAAATTGGTGTTTCTTTTTCTTTTCTTTTGTTTTTGTTTTTTTTGCATGTTGTGTCCTGTTTTCCTTCTCCCAGAAGACTCATTCAGATGGGTCCTGCGGGACAGGGACCGCTACGTGCACAGTGCTATCACGTGAATCTGTACTTGCCGTACCTGAGCATTCGGTAGATGAAGGAGTACTGAGGAACTGAATTTGAACACGTCCACCGCCTTCGCTTGCATGACCGACTGTCTCTTTGACAGGGGTGCAGGGTACATTTTTGTTCTTACCTTCAGGTTTCTTTGTTTCATCCGGTGAGGATGGGGATGCTGATGACGATGATTTACCCTTGTCCTCCACAGCAGGTGGTGCCGCAGGTGGGGCTTGTGGTATGGGTACTGTTGCTGATGTGACCGCGTTCTCTCCTGCTGAGCCATCTGATCGTGGTTGTCCTGTTGGTGGCGACGGAGGTGCCCCTGGACTCCCTGCACCTGAAGCTGTTGGTGATGGGGTGCTTGACGGTTGTTCTTTTTCCTTGTTCTTATCATCTGTTCCATGTGGACCGTTCTCTGGACTCTTTGGTTTAGCTATGAAGGGGGAAGAGAGAGGGTCGATGTTTGTTAAAACAAAGCGGAATGGATGAAAAAACAAAGAACAAAGGTTTGGTGGGTGAGTAGGGTATGTTCGCCTCGATGCATGGATCGAGGTGCAATCGGTCGATGCAGTGGGTCGATGCATGGATCGAGGTGTGCTCGGTGAACTGGGTCAGGCGACAGCAAGCGCACAGTGAGGCGAAGTCGGTGGACTTGGGCTAGATGGTAGCAGTACAACTTTTATTTGTCGCCCTCATCTCGTCCGCCGTCCCGCTGCCGTGGCCACTCATCTCCGTCCGCTCCGCAACCGCTACCATCGCTACACGCTCATCGCCGTCGTCGCCGCCGCTAGGGCTCATCGCTCAACCGAAGTGGGGCAGCGAAGTGGCCGCCCTGTGCTGTTGTTGTCCCCGCGTGTGCGTGTTTGTGGTGGAGGCACCCGTACGGTCAGTAGTCGGCCGTGTATTCATAGCGGCCGTAGGCTGCGTATTCGGCCGTGTGCGTACTGTGCGTGTTCTTATTGCCCCGTATTAGTAGCACTCTGTTCCTTTACTCTTCTTACCAATCGCGTCCTCTTCTGCATCCTCATCATGGTCGTCGTCATGTTCGTCCTCATCATCGTCGTCGGCCTAATCGTCGTCGTCCGATTCTTCGGCGCGAGAGTGAGTAATGGGGGATTGTGTATGTTCCGCCTTGCTACCACTTGCCTTCACTTCCTTCTTAATTTGTCTGAATATTTTACCCATCCCTTTGCTTAGATTCTTCGCTGTTTGTACTACCTGGGCTTTTACTATATCCGCGTCATCCGTATTTTTCTTACCGTTGTCCTTTTTTGTGTATTCTGCTATTTTACTGCTACAGTTCGTACTTGCACTTGCGTGCTGTATTCGGTTCCTGATGCTGTCATGTGTACTTAACCATTGTTTAATACTTTGTTGCATCGACCATCCGTCTACCTCAATATCTTCTTCCATTCCGTTCTTACATGTTCCCGCATATATTAAGTTCCGTCCGAACGGTCCGTCATTCTTCATGTGCTGCATGGTGTGCCATGCATAGAAAATGCCCCACTCCGTGTTACACGCGGATTCTTCCAATAGATGCATAAACATATTTACAATGCCGCATCTGATAAAATCCTTCAATGCTGTGTGTCCGCCACTATGATCTGCCGTATGCGTGCCTGGTGCTTTGCTCCACCCATTCAGGAAATACAATGCGTTGGTCATGAGTGTGCAAATAATTATGTCACCCGGGCTTGGAACTTCGACGGGTGACCCATGCGGGGGCCTCCAATCCGCCCATGCATAATAGTTGCAATGCAAAGAATATACATCTTCCACGTGGTCCTCTTTCAAATGTTGTATAAACTTCTCCAGTTGTGCCTCTATATCCTGCCATAAACTGTTCTACAATTGGAGTAATGCGGAAGCGAATACATATATTCCATTTTTCTATGTTAACAGGTGGATGCTCACTTTGCCCTGTCCTATATTACATTCTAGTTCTGGGATCCTATCCTCACATCGGGCATATGATTTCCCGTTCACGACATGTGAACATATGTATGCTGCACACTGCGTACCCTGCCTATCGTCGACGTATGCACATATATATATGTATATGCGCATTGTGCCTGCATCATGCGCGCATAATAAATTACCTTATACTGTTCCTGCAAACCCCCTAGACCTCTTATCCGCACATAATGTGCTCATACATCCCCTCACGTCTCATACGACATATTGTCCTTATCATGAAGCAATAGAGTGCAACGGATGAAACAAGTATCTCTCAGATAACGGCCTGAGTATAATATGGACACAATATGCTGTTATGTATTATTGAGTTTCATGTGGAATGGAACATGTCTTCCAGTATAGGGTGCCTGGGGAAGCATGTCCCATTAACAAACTATCCCCTATCTGAATGTAATCACACACCCTATAAAGCG